CGCTACAGCTACGTAAGGCCATTGATTGACAACGGAGACGCGCACAGTGTTTTTACTCTTTGATTTCCTAAAACAAGACGATGACATTTGTAGGATGGCAGCTTGTAAAAAAAAATATACAGCAAAAAAAAAATGTAACTCCAGAACCCTCAATTATCTTTTTTTGTTTTGCATATTTTGAGCTATTGTTGCAGTATTTCCCTCAGTGTCGGAGCAATCGCCATAGCGACCCAGGTGGCCGCTATCGGGCCCGGGGCACAGGGGGGGGCCTGGCCAGGACATCCCCCCTGATACCGTTCGGGCCGCCTGAGTCGCTATGCAATCGCAGGCTGCTTGCTGTCACTGGTGGCTGTGAGGAGGAACACGCCGCTGTTCAGATCACTGAAAACCTATCTGTGATGCGTGCAGCGGCACGCTCCTCCTCACAGCCGCTGCTGAGTCATTGACAGCCAGCATCTGTGGAGGAGGAGCCCAGGGCCCAGAGTCGGCAGCGATGGAGGAGGCGGGGCCCGGCGTTGGCAGCGAAGGATTAGGCAAGGGTCGGCAATGGAGGAGGTGGGGCCCAGCAATGGAGGAGGCGGGGCTCGGCGTAGGTGGGTGTAACTAGAAATCACAGGGCCCCATTTTGCTACCCTGGAACTAAGTGGGCTTCAGGAGGATGGTCGGTGTCTTTCCTGATTGAGGATCTGTATTCATCCTGTCTGTCTGCTACAACATTTGCTGTCTGCTGTCTCCTAATTGGATCTGCACTGATGTGCCTGTGAAGTCAGGTAAGTATGGAGCTCCTGTTGGATACCCCTAGACACCCAGAACCCCCCCATACAGTGGGGGGGGGGTTCTGGGTGTCTAGACAGTGGCCCTCTCCATCGTCTATGGTCTTGGACTTTTTTTTGAGGAACCCTTTCCACCAACCTAAAAGCCATACGCATGAATAGATGTCAGTGTATCAAGCGCCCTTGTATTCACCACTCTTTTGGTATGGGGATACCAGTCTCTACGTCTATTGCGTTGGGTTTGTCTTTACAGGGAGGGCATAGAGAGAGTTGAAAGGGCCCATGCTGAGCCACTTCCCAATTCATGTACATTGATCATATTACACCCACACACCAAAAACTTCTGCTCGAAACAACAAAGCTACG